AACCACTCACCACTCATTACGGGAATGTCACGGAAGGTGACATTCAAACATAAGTCTTTGTAACCAAAGCAATTTTCTAAGCAACTAGAAAAACACTAATTTAAGCAAGAACTCAGTTTTGCACACAATTTCCATAATAACCAACAGCTCGTTCAATATTAAGCAACAACTTTTCAGAGAAGTAGTGGGAACCTCTAAGATATTACATCACTTAAGAACTCATGGGAATTCAACAAAACCCAGGGATTTAATCAAATGTACTTACAGTATAGCTGTTATAGTAATTTTGTACTATAACTACAAATCTTTTTTTTTTTTTAAAGATTTTTACTTATTTAGTTGAGAGAGGAAGAACGAGCAGGGGGAGGAGCAGAGGGAGAGGGACAAGCAGACTCCCCACTGAGGAGGGAGCCAGATACAGGGCTCAATCCCAGGACCCTGAGATCATGACCCTATCCTAAGTCAGACACTTAACCGACTGAGCCACCCAGGTGCCCCTACAAATCTCTGTAACTGGTTCTAAATTTGTAGGTCAAGATGGCTCCTAGAGGAACAGTTTAAAGGAAATGTCCATACTCTCCAGGACCCATCACTATCTACCTCAGAACCAAACAGAATATATTTGGATGACATTCCAATCATCTTCATTGATCTTTCACGTTGAGATCTGCACATGTGCAGACGGGCAGTCCCCAACCTACAATGGTTCGACTTTAGGAGGCTGCAAAAGCAATTCACATTCCGTGGAAACCATCCTTCGAATTCTGACTTTGGATCTATTCCCAGGCTAGTGACATGCAGTACGAAATTCTCTTATGATGCTGGGCAGGGGCAGCCAGCTGCGGCTCGCAGTCAGCACATGAGCACCAGGATCAACAACTGATACACCTACAACCATTCTGTTCTTCACCTTCAGTACAATATTCAATAAATGACATGACATATTCAACACTCTATTATAAAACAGGCTTAGTGTTAGATGGTTTTGCCCAACAAGCCACCCCTTGTGTGCTTACGTGTTCTAAACACATTTAAGGTAGACTAGGCTAAGCTATGATGTTCCGTAGGTTAGGTGTAATGAATGCATTTTCGACTTACAATATTTTCAATTTACAAGGGGTTTATCGGGACATAACCCCACTGTAAATTGAGGAAGACCTGTCCTGCCAAAAAGTGCAGGCTTTGGAGTGGAGCACCTTGGTCCAAATGCCGGCTCCACCCAGGTATCCTACAGCACGTCTGTCATCTCCCCCTCTGGGAAAACTGGCCATAATGTAACCTAGCAGGGTTGGTCTGGTTAACCAGACCAGACCGAAGGACTACAAGAAAAATGAACAAATGAGAAATAGCTTACAGCAGATATATAATAAATGGTGTTTTTAGCATATTATACTATTTTCATCTCATTAGGATTGAAGTTTTACAAAGACATTAAAAAGGCTCAAACAGGGGCGCCTGGGTGGCTCAGTCAGTTAAGCATCTGCCTTCAGCTCAGGTCATGACCTCAGGGTCCTAGGATCAAGCCCTACATTGGGCTCCCTGCTCAGCAGGGAGTCAGCTTCTCCCTCTCCCTCTGCCCCTCCCCCCCTTGTGTGCTCTCACTCTCTCGAGCTCTCTCTCAAATAAATAAAATCTCTAAAAAAAAAAAAAAGGTCAAAACGTGTCAACTAATACTCCTAAAAGTAAAAATGTTAAGTAAGAGAGAGGAAACAAAAGTTCCTGGAATAAAGAAAGAGATGTGATCCCAGGGAAAAGCTCCTCCTCCTGTAAGACACACACCAGGCAACAGTTTCCTTGCATTCTGGGGACAAGGCCTGCCCCACCCACACCTCTGACCCTGGGACACCTACAGGATATGAACTCCCAGTGTCACTGATGAAGAAAGGATGTGATTAGAAGTTCCTAATCTGGTCACAGCCACTGTGGCCACCCCTTGTGTGCTTAAGTATGTGAGGTCTAGCTCACAAAAACCTTGACTCGAAACTCACCCCTAGAAAAAAATGTACATCATAATCATGAAGTCAACTACTTTACAATAATTGCTCAAAAGTGGCCATTTTCATAATGCTCTGATTGCCAATTAAAATGAAATCTGAAGGGACGCCTGGGTGGCTCAGTCAGTTAAGCGTCTGCCTTCAGCTCAGGTCATGATCCCAGGGTCCTGCTCCGCGGGGAGCCTGCTTCTCCCTCTGCCTCTGCCTCTCTCTCTCTCTATCTCTCATGAATAAATAAATAAATAAAATCTTTAAAAAAAAAAATGAAATCTGAATGCAAGGGTGCTTGGCTAGCTTAGTCAAAAACCAATAAAACTCTGCCCAGGGGTCCTCAAGCAACATTCCTTGCAAGCTCCCTGAGGGGAGGAGCTTGTTTGCTTGTTCATCTGACTTTCCCTAGAGCCTGGTGTCCAGTGGCAACTTAAAATTCACTGAAAGATTTGTACACCCCTGTTCACGACAACATTACTCACAATAGCCAAAAGGTGGAAGTAACCCAGGTGTCCATCAACAGATGAATGGATAAACAAAATGTGGTATGTACTCCCAACAGAACATTATTCAGTGTTTAAAATGAAGGAAATTCTGACATATGCTACAACATGGGTGAACCTCCAGGACATTATGCTGAGTGAAATAAGCCAGTCAAAAAAGACCCAATACTGTATTATTCCACTTCTATGAGATACCTAGAGTAGTCCAATTCACAGAGACAGAAAATAGAGTGTGGTCACCAGGGGATGAGGGAGAAGGGAATGGAGTTATTGCTCAATGGGTAGTTTCAGTTTTACAAGATGAAAAAAGTTCTGGGGATGTGGGGATGTACATTCACCACAATGTGAATGTACAATGTGACCCTTGAACAACATGGCTTTGAACTACACGGGCCCACTTATACACGGATTTTTTTTTTTTTTCAATAAAAACAGCATAACACTGTAAATGTATTTTCTCTTCCTTATGATTTTCCTAATGACATTTTTTTCTCTAGCTTACTTTGTTAAGAATGCAGTACACAGGGGCGCCTGGGTGGCTCAGTAGGTTAAGTGTCTGCCTTCGGCTCAGGTCATGGTCCCAGGGTCCTGGGATCGAGCCCCACATCAGGCTCCCTGCTCAGCGGGAAGCCTGCTTCTCCCTCTCCCACTCCCCCTGCTTGTGTTCCTGCTCTCGCTGTCTCTCTCTCACTGTCAAATAAATAAATAAATCTTAAAAAAAAAAAAAGAATATAGTACATAATACATGTAACATACAAAATAAATACTAATCGACAGTTAACGTTATCAGTAAGGCTTGTGGTCAACAGCAGACTAATAGTAAAGTTTGGGGGGAGTCAAAAGTTATCCATGATTTACCACATCAATGGGGGGCAGCGCCCATGACTCCCATGTTGTTCAAGGGTCAGCTGTATTTAATGCTACTAAACTGTAACACTTAAAAATGGTTAAAATGGTACATTTTAGGTTCTGTGTATTTTACAACTTAAAAGGAAAACCCAGAAAATTAACTGAAAGAATACTGAGTACTATCACTCACTAAATGTTCTCATACCTTTGGATTATTCATTAAGGAATTCCTAACACCACATTTTATAGATGAGAAAATTGGGACTCACAGAGCTGAACCCATCTGCCACTATACCACATACAGCACCTACTACACAGTGCTGCTCAGCGTTAATGGTGCATTTTACCGCACTGGTTCCAAGCCCAGTGAAGACAAGGGCCGTGACTGAGGTCTTCTTTCTATGCCCAGAACCTAACACAACACCCACAGGCCCCTTGAATGTTTTAAAAAATCCCAGTGGCCTGAACATCTATGTCACAGATGTCACTATGTCCCTTTCTCTATTAAATCCCTAACGGGGTAAAATGGACAGCCTTAACACTTCCTTCACTGGAGGTGCTCAAACACAGGCTGCGCAATCAACCGCTCCGCCACGGGTTTACTATGTACCAGGAGTTGGGGCAGATAAAGGTTCAGACAATTTCATCTTTGAGGGAACTGAATCTACTGCTGTGGAGAGATAAGGCTCAGAAACAATTATAACAAGACAAAGGCTTAATAAACAGATGTGAGTACATAAATGTAAGGGAGTGCTGAGAGTGTTTTTGGGTCTGAAAAACGTGGTATCTTCAGAAGAGGTGGCTTCTCAGCTGGATCTGGAAGGAAGAACAGCTTTCCAGGCACTACCAGGGAAAAGGCCAGAGCATGAAGCAGAAACAGCATGCTGGTGTCAAAAGACACCCCGGTTCCTGACTTTGCTATTATCCGGATGAGTGACCTCTGCAAATCACAAACCCTCTGTTTCCTTCTATATAAACCTACAGCAAGACCCCATCAACCCTGTGTGTTATATCTAATAGAAGCTCTGAAGTCAAACTGCTTAACTTCAGATCGTGCCACTGTCACTTAAGAGTGACTGCCTCCAGCTCGGGTCATGATCCCGGAGTCCCGCATCAGGCTCCCTGCTCGGCGGGGAGTCTGCTTCTCCCTCTGACCCTACCCCCTCTTGTGCTCTCTTTCTCACTGTCTCTCAAATAAATAAATAAAATCTTTAAAAAAAAAAAAAAAAGAGTGACCTTGAGCTGGGTAATTAGTTGCTCTGTGCCTCAGTCTCCCCACTTCAGGAGAGAGCTAGGGTACTCATTAAGTAACAAATGTCAATCACTCAGCACAGGCCCTGGCACATAGTAAGCCCTCAATAAATACAGGATAGCTCCTGTCAAATAAGCTACATTGTTAAGAGAGGCAAACCCCAGACCCAAGGGTAGCGCCTGCTGCGTTTCCAGGTCCCTCCCAGTCCTGAGACATCCCTGGGGGGGGATGGGAGCGCCGAGCTGGGGCTGCAAAGCCTGCACGCATGTGTCACTGCTGGGCTCGGCATGCGCCTCTCCCCGCCCCGGGGAGAAGCGATGGCTCAGCAGTCCCGGGGCCCGCTCCCACCCCTCAGACCCGGCACCGGGGGCGGGGGGGGCGGGGGAGGGAAGGGGCTCGGCCCCCACTCACCATGCTGGCCGGGGGAGGGGCGGCTCAGGTGAGCTGGCTCTCGAGCTTCGGACACGTCCCGCTCGCACAGTTCAGGTCATGGTCCCGGCAGACTCGGGAAATCCCCCGCCCATGCAAAGACAACCGCTGCCCCACCCGGGCCCCGCGGGGACCCTCTAAAAAGAGCGCGGCCCCCCGGCCCGCCTCATCGGGGACCCCCGGAACAATTCATCTAGAACCACCCGCCCCTCCCCAAGGAAACTGAAAAAGCAGGAAATGGGGCTCGGAGGCCGGTGAGGAGGGCAGCGGCTCGGGGGGCCCCCCGCCCGGGCCCGACCCCCGAGGGGAGGCTCCGGGCCCAGGCAGGGGCTCCCGGCCTCCGCGTTCAGAAGCGGCTGCGGGCCCGGCCCCGAGGCTGAAGGGGCGGAGGCTGAAGGGGCCTCGGCGGCGCAGCCCGGACGGCCGGCTCAGGGGAGAGGCCCGGGGGCCCGCGCTGTCCTCGCCGCCTCAGCCCACACGGCCGCCGCCGCCGCCCCGCGGAGCATCCCTGCGCGCGTCCGCCCCAGAGCCGCCCGCCCGCGCCGCGCGGCCGCCCCCGACCAACAGCCCCAACGCGCCGGAAGTGGCGAGCGCCCGGCGCGGCCCCACGGCGCGGCCGCCGGGCTGCGGCGCTGGAACCGGACCAATCCGGAATCGAGCGGGGAGGGGGTGGGGGGGCGCGGGGCGGGGCCGCACCTGACGGCTCCCGCCTGGCCCCGCCCCCGCCCGGCCCCGCCTCGCGCCCGCCGCCCATCCACGCGGGCCGGCGGCCATGTTGGTAAAGGGCCCGGGTCTGCCATCTTAGTAAAGGGGCGGTTTCCCTTTCGCTTCGGTAGCCCATTCATTCCTCAGATCTTTAGGGAGCGTCTTCTACACTCCAGGCTCCCGGCCCGGAAGTCAGTGACCCGCAGCCTCTGCCCTCGTGGAGCCTACAGTCACTCAGTTCACGCACGTTTTAGCCCTGCTATGACCCAGACGCTAGGACCCGTGCAGTCAGCAAGACTGCTGTAGTCCCTGCCCTCGAGGAGGCAGAGAAGCAACAAGGGCAAATGAATAAATTAACCGTAAGAAAGGAGGAGTGCTGTGAATGTTATGAACGCAACAAACTAGCAGCGGGCTGAGATAGAAAATGCAAGGGAGGGATGGAAATGTAAACTGACACCCAAAGAATAAAGTCAATAATGGAAAGCATGATCAAAGTCGAAGGAGCAGTAGGGGTGCCTGCTGGCTTAGTCGGTGGAGCATGCTGTTCTCGGGGTTCTGAGTTTGAACCCTACCTTGGGTGTAGAGATTACTTAAGAAAAAAACTTTAGGGCGCCTGGGTGGCTCAGTTGGTTAAGCGACTGCCTTCGGCTCAGGTCATGATCCTGGAGCCCCGGGATCGAGTCCCGCATCGGGCTCCCTGCTCGGCAGGGAGTCTGCTTCTCCCTCTGACCCTCCCCTCTCATGTGCTCTCTCTCTCAAATAAATAAAATCTTAAAAAAAAAAAAAACAATAAGAAGTTTTTTGGGTGATTAAGACATTGTGATTCTTTAGGAAAATGTTCTTAGTGTTAGAAGAGACATGCTAGGACGTCTGGGTGGCTCAGTTGGTTAAGCGACTGCCTTCGGCTCAGGTCATGATCCTGGAGTCCCGGGATCGAGTCCCGCATCGGGCTCCCTGCTCAGCAGGGAGTCTGCTTCTCCCTCTGACCCTCCCCCCTCTCATGTGCTCTCTCTCATTCTCTCTGTCTCAAATAAATAAATAAAGTCTTTAAAAAAAAAAGAAAAGAAAAGAAAAAAACTTTAGAAAAAAGAAGAAAAAGCCGAAGGAACAGCAACTGCAGAGGTGCTGGGGGCGTAGGATGTGATGAGTTCCTGTTCCTATCCTCCAACCCACTTTACTTTGTGAAAGTGCTGATTTTAAGAAATAGATGCAGGAAAGATCCCCGATCAGCAGAGGTTGAGCCCTAGGGTGTACCCACTGCATAGACTAGAGCAAATCTGTATATAACCCAGTGGCTTTCAAATCAGCGAGAACCAGAATCACCTGGAGGGCCTGCTCAACACAGATTGCCATCCCAGCCCTACTTCTCAGAGATTCTCACTCAGTAGGTCTGAGTGGGGCCTAATAATTTACAATTCTAACAAATTCCCAGGTGATGTTAATGCTTGCAGGTCCTGGGACCGCCCTTGGAGAGCTGCTGCTAGAACTCCTAACCACAGAGAGCAACAGCTTTCATTTACTCCTTCATCAAATATTTACCGTCACCTGCTAAGTGACATCCACGGTTCTGACGATCCAGTGCCGAGAAAACAGATACACGTGTGCCCTTATGAAAGAGACAAATTATTTTAAAAGTATCATACGATAGGGGCGCCTGGGTGGCTCAGTCGGTTAAGTGGCTGCCTTCGGCTCAGGTCATGATCCCAGGGCCTGGGATCGAGCCCCGCATCGGGCTCCCTGCTCAGCGGAGAGCCTGCTTCTCCCTCTCCCTCTCCCTCTGTCTGCCGCTCTCCCTGCTTGTGCTCTCTCTCTGTTAAATAAATAAATAAAAATCTTAAAAAAAAAAAAAGTATTATACGATAGGATAAGTCATCAGTTACAATTGTGATAAGGGTGTGAAAGAAAAATACAAACCACCATGAGAATTAATGGCCAAGGGATCTAGGTTAATTGCCAGGGTTGGAATGGGGAGGTCAGGAAGTGACATTTATTTAATCTGAGGCCGGAAAGGCAGAGAGAGGAGGTATAGACCATTCTAGACAGTAGAAATGGCATGTATTAGAGAATCCATATCCGAAGGTAAATGGATGAATCAGAACTGAAATCAAGTGACTTGACCTTTCTTGGCTCAGCTTAGCGGGATGAGCAAAGGCTGTAGGATAAGACAGATTTGGAGTGGAATCCCAGCTCTTACCACTTGCTGAAGTATGTTAAGCATATGACTATCAAAGTCTTGGCTTCCTCACTGTGTAATTGGATGAAATAACAGAAACTCAACTCAGACTCAGAGGTATGCCTTTGACTCACATAATTCCCATAACTGGATTTCTGGAAATAGGTCAGGTTCGGGGCACTTGACTGGTTCAGTCCATAGAGCGTGCATGCTCATGAGTTCAAGCCCCGCATTGGGCAGAGAGCTAAAGAAAGGAAAGAAAGAAAGAAAGAAAGAAAGAAAGAAAGAAAGAGAGAGAGAGAGAGAGAGAGAGAGAGAGAGAGAGAGAGAAAGAAAGAAAGGAAGGAAGGAAGGAAGGAAGGAAGGAAGGAAAGAAAAGAAAAGAAAGAGGGCGCCTGGGTGGCTCAGTTGGTTAAGCAACTGCCTTTGGCTCAGGTCATGATCCTGGAGTCCCTGGATCGAGTCCCACATCGGGCTCCCTGCTCGGCAGGGAGTCTGCTTCTCCCTCTGACCCTCTCATGCTCTATCTCATTCTCTGTCTCAAATAAATAAATAAAATCTTTAAAAAAAAAAAGAAAGAAAGAAAGAAAGAAAAAGAAGAGGTCAATTTCATGCTGGGAGTAATGGAAGCCCTGGGTCCTTTCCTCTAAGATTTTCTTGGCTCTGCTCTCCTCAGTGGATCAGCCTTGTCCTCAAGATGGCTGCCAGGAACAGCCAGGACCACAAATGTCCAAGTTCACATCCAGCAAGAGAGAGCACCTTATCTCACATCCTTTCTCATGGCAATAAACTTTATCCTACTGGTCCTAATTGGCCCAGGCCTGTCCATCCCTGAGCTAGCCACTGTGGAGGAGGATGGAATTGCTATGATTGGCTTTGAGAATCCTCCCCTGGAGCTGATTTCAACTCCTCAGGATAAAGTGGATGTGTTGGAGTCCCCACATGTTCAGCATACCTCCATCACCAAGCTGGAGCTAATATCAAATTGAATATACACAGAACACCTGGCACATAAGGCATGCAATAAATCACAGCTATTATTAATTTTTGTCCAGGGATTTTTGTCCAAGTCAACTAAATAACACTTTGTTATTAATATTAATCTCAAGCCTGGCTACTCCAAAAAAAAAAAAAAAAAAGATTTAAGACTGCTATTACTTTTTGTTGGCACTGCAGAGATGGCCCCCATCCATCTCCTCCTGCCCATTCCTATTGCTCCCGCTTTGGTCCCATTCATTCAGTTATTCATTCAACAAACATTCAGTGAGTATCAACTTTATGCCAGGTCTTTTCCTAAAGACTGAAAATTCCAAAATGAATAAGATTCGGGCAAATCGTTCACTGCCTCATAGCAGAAGCAGCCACCCTAACAATTCCAGCACAAGAAGGCGCTATAGTAGAGGTGTGTGCAAACCTAAGTGTACAAGGAAGAGGGGGAAGGAGCAACTAGCTATGAAGGGAGGAGTGGTTGGAAGGTTGAACAAAGATGGTAACATTTTCATTGGGTCTTGCTGGATGAACAGAGGTTCGCTGCAGAGGCCCCACTCCCCTTCCCACTCCAAGCTCTCCTATGGCATTAAGACTCTTTCCGTTGCAAGTGATGAGTTTGCAACTCTGGAATTGGAACTCTTTAAGAGGGGAAAAGGGATTTTATTGTCTCATATAAGAGAATCATCCAAAGGTTTACATAGATTTCAGACATGGCTGCATGCAGAGTCTGAAATGTCATCACAGAACTCAGTTTCTCTCCATTTCTTGGTTCTGATTCCTTGACCAGGGGTCCTTGATCCGCACTGTTGCCCCTGGCATATCCCAACTGGAAGGCTGGCAGAGAAGAAAGCTACAAGTGTTCCAGAGAAATAATCCCCTTGGCTTTGATTGGATCACTCCTGAGCCAATCACTGTGACCAGGGGAATGTGATGCTCTGATTGGCTGGACCTCAGTCACATGCTCCACCCTAATTTCCAGAATAGCTCTTTCTATGGCTAAAATCTCTCAGAGCCCCACCACAGCTCTGTGAGGCCATCAGAGCCTGAGGAATTCTCTCATTTTCCATGCGAGGAAGCTCGTTGTTTTCTCAAGAGGCATAGATGTATCACTCAATATGGATTTAATGAAAAAAGAAAGAAGGGATGAACATCTGGCACCCTCTGTAGGTGATAGGAACATTCTCTGTTTAACATGGCATTCAAGGCCTTTGAAGGTCTTTGAACTGGCTGGTTGAGTTTTTACTTTTTTTATGTACGTGGATGGCCTTGAGCAGGTCAGCTAAACTCTCTGTACCTCAGTTTCCTCATCCGTAAAATGGGAACAGTACTAGTACCCATTTGGTCCATTAGGTACCTCTATCAGTCGGGTTCTATCAGGAAATTCTAGTTAGAATTTGAAGAATTGACAAGGGAGCTATTTTTAAAGGGTTGTAAGGAAACCCTACAAAAGATTATACAGTATCCCCAATCTAGTAACAGCAGGACTATGAGGACCCCTAGGCCTGAAGGGGCAAGAGGAGGCACCCTTGCCAAAACCTCTCTAGGGAGAATGGTGCAAGAACACCAGCTGAGGGGGTGTTCCTGCAGGGAGGAAGCCAGTAGAACAAATACCCTGAACTCACTCTCTTCCCTCTCTCTATCTCCTGCTGGGACTCCCCCATTGGACTGATCCATCCAGAAGCCAGAGAGCAAGGGAGCATGGTGATGTAGTTGCTGGGGCC